GGCCAGCCTCCTCGATAACTCGGGTTTGTGCAATATGTTTCTCAAAAGAAACGTGGTGACGACCGAGCTTGGGTGGCACTAGAAAAATGGCCTAAGCTTTTGTGAAGCTACGACAAGGGCCATGTCTAGTTTCTCGAGGTGAGGGTACCTTGTCTCGACGTCGATAAGTGTTTTACTGATATAATAAAGCGGCTATTGCATACCTTTGTCTTCTCAAACAAGGACTGCGATTTTTGCTACTTCTGAAATAACAAGGTAGACAAGGAGACGTTTACTGGGCTCAGGCTTTGAGATCAAGGGTGTTGATGATAGTTATTCCTTGAGTTCCTTCAGCGCTTGTATGCATTCAGGTCTCCATTCGAGGCCGTCATCCTTTTTGAGTGTGTTAAAGAACTTGTGACACTTATCATATGACCTCGAGATGAATCTAGACAGGGCGTCGATTCTGCCCGTCAGTCTCTGGACTTGTTTCTTAGTAGTTAGATGTTCTGATATCCCGTCAATAGCCTTAATCTGATATGGGTTGACCTCGATCCCACGCTATGATACCAGGAAGCCCAAAAACTTACCCGAAGTGATGCCGAATGTGCATTTCTCGGGGTTTAGTTTCATCCCATACTTCCTCAATATTTTGAATGTTTCTTTTAAATGGTCGATGTGATCCTCGGCCCTCAAGGATTTAACCAACATGTCACCGATATGTACCGTCATGGTCTTGCCAAGCTGGTTTGAACATCTTCATGACCAGCCGTTGATATGTAGATCAGCGTTCTTTAACCCGAATAGTGTGACCCTGTAGCAGTATGTTTCACTGTGAGTGATGAACGTAGTTTTCTCTTGGTCATCTTCCTCCAAGAGTATCTGATTATAGCTTAAGTAAGCGTCTAGAAAACTTAGCAACTCATGTCTTGTTGTCTCATCGATGAGCTAGTCGATGTGTGGTAACGAGAATGAATCCTTTGGGCAGGCTTTGTTCAGATCGGTGAAGTCCACACATATCCTCCATTTTCCATTATTTTTTTTTACTATTACCACATTAGCAATACACTTGGGGTACTTCGAATCCCTTATAGAGCCATTGGCCAATAGTTTCTCTACCTCCTCAAGGACGGCCTCGTTGATGGTGGGATTGAAGTTTCCTAGGACTTGCCTTACTGAGGGTAGAAGGGGTCGACATTTAGCTTGTGCGTGGCTATCTCTTTGGGGATGCCGGGCATATCTACATGGCTAAAGGTAAACAAATTGGCGTTAGCTATTAAGAATTGACTAAATTTACCTGGGCTTTGGAGTTTGCAACCGATGTAGGCTTTTTTGCCGGGGTAGCTGGGGTCTAGCTGGACGGGATCGAGGTCCTCTATGGTCGATCCTGCAGCTTCAACCATTTCTAGGTCCATAATGGTATCTTTGGCTTTGACCTGCAGGGATATCGACCATATTGATTGCTATGCTTCTTTTTCCTTTTCTTTCTTTTGTTTGGTTATCGTACCGTCCAGGGCGATCCGATAGTGTTCTCGGGATGTGCGTTATTCCCCTTGTATGCCGAATATTCCCCATGGGGTCAGGAATTTGATCACTTGGTACAAGTTGGAGGGGACTGCCCTCATGGGATGTATTCATGGTCATCCTATGATGGCGTTGTATGCGGTGTACTGATCCATGATATGGAATGTGGTCTCCAGTGTCACCCCACCGGTGAGGATGGGGAGTGTGATCTCACCCCAAGTTCGTTCAACTGCATTGTTAAAACTAGTTAGTGTAATGCAGCGCGACGATCTTATCCTCAAGTTGCATCTGTACGAGGACTCGCGGATAGATGATGCACTCTCCGCGTCCGTTGTCTACCATAATTATCCTAAAATCAATATCAAGAATTCCTAAAGTAATGACAAGTGCATCATTATGAGGAAAAGTCAAACCGTCAACATCTGACTCATCGATGATGGTACTTTTTTCGAGTCCATCATACCGTTCGTGGGTGATTGATCTCTTGAGTTTGTGAGTGGCGGTGAATTTGATGCCATTGACGGAGGCATCGTCATTTCCACCAATTATCATGTTGATGGTGCGAATGGGCGAAGGAGGCTTTGGTGGGCCTGGGTGCTCTCGGCCTCTTGTTAAGGTATTCCTGCCTTTGTCGCTAAGTAATTCTTTGAGGCGTCCTTGTTACAGCAAGTTCGCTACTTCTAATCTCAGAGTGTGGCAATCTTCCATTTTGTGTCCACAGTCCATGTGGAACTCGGAGAAGGCGTCGAACTTCCTAGTGCTTGGGTCGTCCTCATCTTTGGTGGCCACTTCACCTTGGTTCCGAGCTTCTCAAGTGCGTAGACCACCTCTGTAAGTGACACATAAAAATTATGATCAGATAGTAAGGGGCATACCTTGATTGTTTCTGTGAACATCTAATCTCGGCCTAGAGGGGTCGTCTTCATGACGAAAGTTGGGTACGAGTGCCCTAACATAGGGTTGATGCCAATCTCTGTCTGATCGCAGTACCAAAGGGTCTCTCCTCGCGTTTTCCCTTCGTTCCTTCCTGGGTTTGGATTTTACCGAGATGAGTCCTCGGGTTGGCTCATTGAGGTCTTCGTAATCTACCATAACCTCGGCACAGTAGGCATTGTGGATCTCATCCCAGGTGGCCGGTGGGTACTTCATCAATCGGCTCAATAGCTTTCTGGTCGCCTTCAAACCTTCTCTATTCAGCCCATTTTGAAAGGCTGCCACGACCATTCCTTGTTGCCTCACCCTATTGAATGGGGCGAGGAAGTCCCTCAGTCCATTCCCTAGGGATTGTTTGATAGCGAAGATGTCATTCACCCTCGTTTCAGCTTTCTTGGCCCCGGCATGTGTTGTTACGAACTTGTCGGCCATCACTTCGAATATTTCTATGGAATAGGCTGGCAGCTGTGAATACCATGTCAACGCCCCTCCCGTGAGGGTTTCACCAAAAAGTTTCAGCAAGATGGAGGACACCTGCTCTTTGGTGAGGTTGTTGCCTTTTACGGCGGTGACATAGTAAGTTACATGATCCTCGGGATTAGTCATTCCATCGTAGATTCGGAGATACGGGGGCATCTTGAATTTTTTTGGTATGGCATGAGGAGTCACCTCCTCCCTGTATGGTTGTTCCATGAACCTGCCAGCGTCTCTTTTTGGTAATAATTTGGGGGCACTGGTATTTTGTCTACATGTTTCTGGTGCTCCTTCATTTGTTCCTTGAGCGCCTTGTTCTCGTTTTTCATTTCCTCCATTCTTTTCAGCACGGCGGCGAGGACGCTGTCACCTACATTGTTAACAATTATATGAGTGTTACTTGAAGTGGGAGAATTTGTTGGTCGTCTCGTTCGTTCATGTGATGTGCTACATGGATCCTCGTGGTTTATGTGGTCGTGCATGGGGCTTGTTTACTTATCACGCTGACCAGAGTGTCAGTTAACTATGCTTCGAGGAGCTTTTTCATAACGGGTGGTGCCCCCTCTCCCGTGGACGTAGAAGCCCTCTTTTCATTTGGTTTGGTTGTGTTGTAGAAGGGTGTAGGCGACTTCCCTAAAAGGAGATGTCGTGGGGGTCACCTCCTCATCATAGGTGTCATACCCTTCGTCGATGGCACTCATAAGGTTAGGGACGTTGTCTATCGCTTTTGTTCTATTTCCTTGGTTACCTGCCATGGAGTCTTTGTATACACAGAGAGAAAGGGTAACTCTACAGCACATTAGCTTAACAAATCACGAAAGTTATAGATTTGAATGGAAACTAAAAACTTGACTAAGAAATCCTCACATACGGTGTCAAACTATATAAGCCAAAATTTAGATATAGGTTTTTATACAATTAGATTTATAGAGAAAATAGTTAATCTAACTCAATATTAATATTTAAATGATAGATCTAGTGTATTTGTGAAGAATAACAAATGTATGTTGTTAGTTAGCAATATCTTGGAGTAATAATGGAGCAATAAATGATTTAATAATATGAAAGATAGTAATAAATGACAATAAATGGCATTTAAATAAATAATGGAACAAGGTTCACTCGACAAGGGTGAGATTTTTCATTGATTTCTCTGACAATGATGGATACTGATAAGCACTTGAATATTCCGATTCTTCTTGGATCGGGGGAGAAAAATAGACAAAGAGGTGTAAAAGTAAACTTTGTATATATCGGTAAAGAGAGAATCTTCAGAGAATGTCAATGTTGTTCTTTACAAAAGTGTTCAATCCCCTTTCTAAAGTTAGATCCTTTCCTATTTATAAGAATACATGGGCCACAAAATACTAGATAGTACAACAGAGAGAAATATTCTCTACGGAATTTAAATCCTTAAACTAGTTGTTACTGCACGCCGAGGACGGATGTTCGCCCTCGTCCTCGTCTTTTATCGGGTCACCTCGACCTCGACGACGATCTGCCTTCTCCATGTGACTTCGACCTTTTGAAACCAGTTTGACATATCATATCGTTGACACGACACAACCTTCAAAGGCTTTATCTCCGTTGACCTGGTCAACATATGACATGAAGTTTTTCGCCCATACACTACCCACTTATGGGACCGCCATTGAAGTTATACTCGCGCTGCACAAAAATTTACAATATTTTCCCACCAAAATCTTAAGTTATTCTATCTTTCAAATGCAACTTTAGAAAATTCAAATCTTAAGTAGTTCAATCTCTTTAATGCAACTTCAGAAATCAAATCTTAAGTTTTTCTATCTTTCATATGCAACTTCAGAAATTCGAATTTCAAGTAGTTTAATATATTCAACGCAACTTCAGAAATCAAATCTTATGTCATTCTATCTTTCAAATGCAACTTCAAAAAATTTAAATCTTAAGTTGTTCAATCTATTCAATGCAACTTCAGATTTCGAATCTTAAGTTCTGAAACATAAACTTGTTCTTCGAATTTTAATAACCAAACACATGATTCAATGCCCAAATCTCTAATCCTTCTTACTTTAAAAAAAATAAATAAAAAAAAATAAAAAATTACCCAATGATGCAAAGTTATATTTCTTTTTCAGGAGATGTTTAACATTAAGCTCAATTTTTTGTCTGCAGTTCACTCTAGTGCTCAAATTGTAGTAGGATGATCGACAATGCTGACATATATACGACTCCTAAAATTAAAAAAATTAGGAGTCTTGAAACTTGATTTCAACCTGCCTGCACCATAACTGTAACGCAACAAGGTTCAAAGTGGATTTTCGACATTGTGCGCAATGCATCACTGGAGTTACTTTCCTTCAATAACATTTCATCTTTTATTCCGAACCATGTGTGCCATCTACAATTAGCTATGAACTCCGAAAGACTATATGCAAGTTGTGCCATATACAAAGCTACCCAAATTCTCTCAGGGTTAATACTATAAGATGGGAAGAAGCCAAAGATTGAAGAGGGAAGACGCCAATGACAGAAACCAAGACAAGAAAGCCATGGCAGCAGAGAGTTGATATCGGCTGCATATATTCCCATCGCAGAATGGGCTACCAGAACGAATCAGGAGGTCAGCTGCACTAGCCGTTGAACATGATGCAGCTAGTGACAGAAACGAAAGGACCTGTTAGATGTGAGAACGAGAATATTTTGTTAGAAGAAGATTAGTTTTAAGCAGAATTTCCAGTGTATTGAACAAGGCGCTTACCCAATCCCCTAATACAACAACTGAGATTATCCCAGGCTGACGAGATGGGCGTTTAATAAAAACCGAGAATGCATCCACCATTGCTAGTGTCAAGCTCCATGATATAACCAAACCCATCACTGTCACCAAAAAGCTGCAAGCAACAATAGTTGAATTAGGTAATTAACAGATAAATTTTGCCTCGGCAAGTAGAAGATTATTATCTGATACACCTTGATATCTAGATATTACTCTATGAGAGCAGATTACTTCATGTAAAGAACATATTATGATGATTCTAAGAAAAATGTAGTATATATGTGAATTAACTACAATAGCTCTTCATCATCAGGCTGAAGAACAAATTCTTCAACTTCCTTATGCAGTTATGCTATAGTGCCATGTTTTTCATTTCCGTTTTCAACCTGAAATTCCAATCTTTGGCATACTTCAATTCTAGACTTGAAAATTTCTTTTCTTTCTTTTTTGATAAGTCAGAAGTAAATTTTGTATTATTTTAAAATAGATTGAATTTGGTCGAAATTAGAAGCAAACTATTTCTATCAATAATTAAGTCAAATTCACATATCTATTTTAATCACATTCTGTTTTTAGAGAATAACCACAAACAGCCAACCACAGATCTATTGGCAGAATCTGAATGCACTATCTTACTTTTCTTGTTTACAGAACTCTTACAAAAGAGAAAAGGGGCAGAGACTGAGATCATAAAGCGCCATACCAACCCTATATTGGCTAATGATTCATCAAATCAGTTGTAATTTACTTGGTGGTACCTATTACTAATGTAATCAAAGAGGTTCTAGAGACTATGTGCAAGCAACCCCGACTACTCCTTGAAAGAACAAAAAAGGAAGAAGAAATGCAGGATAACACCTTATGAACAAAAGAGTTGTAAGTTTTGATATCATCATCAACCAATAATACTGAAACATGGGCTTAAAAATGATAAGCCTATAATATTTAAATGAAGAAGCACATGAGTTCCCCAGAATTTAAGGAAATTATGATCCCAAAAACACTTCCAACTGGAAGATCTTAAGACGAACTCCAATAACAGTTATAAGCAAACGCTGTAATCAGCTCTACATCTCTAGATGCTCCTCTGGAAAAAAAAGAGCTAGCAAATACAAACTATCAACAGAATCCAAGGAAATATTCTATGATCACTTCCTCAATGACATGATTGATACCCGCTAAACTGAACGAATGAAACAAAACAACCGTATATACACTCCCCATAAGCTTTCTAAAGTAGGTGTTACTGTTGTTCAGAACTTACAAGACTGTAAAATTAGAAACCAACCGTAATACTCACATATTAGATATAGCTAGCTTTATTCACAGATCCTTTGTCTATCTATACCTAAGTTAACTTTAAAGGTCACATAAAGCACCGCTTAATAGCCAACAGTGCTCTCACCGTCGACCCAGGATTTGTTAATGCATTAATGTATAAAACTGAAGAAAGATACGCCAGACAAAACAATAAAACAACAGATACACGGATCACATAAGCGACAAATGGAAGGGAAAAAAAAAACTCCAACGTCAATGCGTCTCACGTCTCATTTTAACCCGAGAAATCAAGTCAATATGCGTTACGACAGAAACATAAATGATGATGACGAGGAGGAGAAGGGGCTGGATTCTCTCATTCTTCATAAACTTGAACCGTATCAAACTCGTCTATAAATGCATAACAGTTGTCGCCGCCTAATTAAAACTAGCTATTCTTAGTCCATACATGTATCAACACGTGTTTTACAAGGTAACGTGGATTCCCGGAAAAAGAACAGCTGACATTCCCACAGCAAGTTCTTCTTCCTTGTCACGAACGACGTCAGATGACCTCTGGCAAATTATTATCTCAATGACCTATTCTTCGCACTCATGTGCTCTCACACTCGCCTTGTTCGTCTTCTTTAAAAAAATAATTTTCCTGGTGTTATCCTTCCAATCCTTCCTTCCAGCCCTCATCCACCTACTCATTATCTATTTAATAGTTTCTTCTATCTACTTAATTTAAAGGGAAACCAGCCGCCACTCGATTTGGGGCCCTCCATCCGTCATAATAGATCAACCAAAGCAGTCTATAATTGCTGGTTTTTAGGAATGGAATTTATAGGAGATGTCTGTGAAGCAGCTAAAGAAAGTGGCGCCCCCCAACCTTCCAACTGGAAAGACTTGACATAAAATTCAATTTCCATTGCAGACGTATGCTCGGTTAAAGCTGCCAAATGACTACAGGATCATCGGTCTATTCTACCTCAATTCACCCTGTAATTTGAACTAAGTGCCTTTCCAAAGTGGCAAAGCAATTGAGCTGTCAAACTAGTTTTCTCCACCCCCAAAAGAAACAAAAATACCAACTTGTCAAAAATGATGAACAGAAGTTGCAGGGCAAAAATAGAAAGGATATTAATTCCATATAAGTTGGCAGCTCAATCTTCTGTAATCCATTCAAATTCAGATATCATCAGGATCATCAAATTTTATACACATGCATATGGAACATAAAACAGTCAAGAATTCTCCTAAAAATACAAGTACCCAAATATTCAAGAATCAAAGATATGCATAATTAAAAGGAAAACAAAACAAGGGATTGAAAAAAGAAAAGTAAAGAAAACCCAGAAAGAGAAATATTACCAGAAAGAAGTATAGCTATAGAAAGCAACATCCAAACACATGAAAAGAAGTGAAGCAACAGAGAAGAGAGACTGTCCTAATCTCAAAGCCAAACTAGCACTTGTCCCCAAAGCCCCTGGAACTTCGTCCATATCATCACCGACATGCCACAGACAACTGCTTCACTTGTTTCAATTTTTTTGCTAAGATTATTATTAAGATCACACTTGTTTGTCATATCCAGTTTTAGCTTTCTCTGCAGGCCATGCCACGTTGAAGAAGCAACCGAACAGAGAGAGGCAAAGTGGAAAAGGAATTTTCGGAAAACTAATGATAAGAGATGTCTGTAATTGAAAAAAAATAATGTTACTATTATACTCTCTGTAATGTCTTTTTAGGAACTTTAATTGACAAGTTGGCAGTGGACTTGTGACTTTTTCGTCCGTCTTCTCTTTTGGCTATACTACGATTCCCTTTCACAGAATTATTGATCTTTCCTATTATCATTTCCCCACCGCACTTTTTTTCCTCTAATCTGACATTAGTAACAGCCTCTCCTAAGTTATTGTTAAAATTATGTGACTTGTGTTATTAAGATTTTTTCCTCAAATAAAATTGAAAATTCATTATCAAAGGGATTAAAAGTTATTAATTGCTAGCCTAATAAAATATTTTCTGAATTAGATATGATATTTCCTTCTTTGTTTGTCTTTTATTACTGAATGACGTGCTTTTGTATTTTTAGACATTTCAGTGACTTTGAGGTAAATTCCGAGTTAGAGTTACCAATCTCGTCAAATATTTAGCAAATATTCCTTAAATGTTCAATGACTAAACCCTTATGCCCAGTATATTCAAATGGTCAGGAATTCAATGGCATCTGCTTGTGAAGGAGTGTAAAGAATGGTGTAAGTAAAAAAAGCTAATCCAACCATACTAACACCTAGATTTGAAATTAGATTTAAAAAACATTTACGAGTCTTATTAGACCGGTGGGGTAACGAAAGCTAATTAATAGAATGGAATTGAATGTAGTGTTTTTTATACACCTAACGTCCTATCTAGTTTGAGATTAAGATATAGTGAAATTGATTGATTGTTCTAGTTTGGTCACTAAGTGTTAGACATTTAGGGTGTGTTTGGCATGAAGGAAAATGTTTTCTATGGAAAAAATTTCCTGAAAAATGAGTGATTTTATCACTTATTTTTCTTTGTTTGTTTGGTGAATGAAAAAATATTTTCATAAAATATTTTCTAGTGTTTGATTAGAGAGTATAAAATATTTTTAAGAAAATAATTTTTTGTGATACTCTCCTCAACCCACCTTCCCAGAATCTTCATGTTTCATGTACTCCTCCCCCTCCCCCCTCTGGGACTCTACTTTCTTCAAGAATTTAATTATTTTTTTCAAAATTCACACAAAATCAAAGGAATTAATGTGCTACTTTACTTTTTTACACGAGGACAACGTTGAAATTTGAGCTCGATAACTAAAAAGAAAATATTGTTTATGTTGAAAAGAAAGTATCATTTCTACAACACGAAAGAAAATACTTTTTTTACATCATGAAAAGAAAATACTCAGTTTGTTTTTGAAAGAAAATATTTTTTTTACATCATGAAAAGATAGTATTCGTTTTGTTGAAATGAAATAAAATACTTTTTCTACATCATGAAAAAAAAGTGCTTGTTTTGTTTAAATGAAAGGAAATATTTTTTCTACATCATTAAAAGAAGTATTCGTTTTGTTAAAATGAAAGAAAATAATATTTTACATCAGGAAAAGAAAATACTTAGTTTGTTGAAATGAAAGAAAATATTTTTTCTACATTATGAAAAGAAAGTAGTCGTTTTGTTGAAATGAAAGAAAATACTTTTCTACATCATGAAAAGAAAGAACTCGTTTTTTGGGGGGGGAAACTTTTTCTATTTCACGAAAGGAGAATACTTAGTTTGTTAAAATAAAAGAAAATATTTTTTCTACATCATGAAAAGAAAATACTCGTTTTGCTTAAATGAAAGAAAATACTTTTTCTACATCATGAAAAGAAGTACTCATTTGTTAAAATGAAAGAAAATATTTTTTCTACGTCATGAAAAGAAAAAAAAAATACCTTTTTTACATCATGAAAAGAAAGTACTCGTTTTGTTGGGGAAAAAAGAAAGGAAAATACTTAGTTTGTTGAAATGAAAGAAAATATTTTTTCTACATCATGAAAAAAAGTACTCATTTTATTGAAATGAAAGAAAATACTTTTTCCAACATCGCGGGGTCAAGTCCCCCGCTCAACGAGAATGGGCCCAAAATGAAGGGGTAAGTATAAACGTACATAAAACCCTTCTTAATGAAGGTCACTCGCTCCACCAGGCGGGAGCAATGATGTTCACAGTGTGGCAATCACAATTCTCCTTCACAACAGGAATACTGAAAGGGCGAATAGAAGAAGGATATTTACCAATAACCCAAGTTCGAGGGTTTGAAGTGAGGAACTTCTCCTGAAAGTCATTAACAGTGTTCAGATGTTTGGGTATGATGTTGCTCCCGTGGGAGGATCAGCATTAGCATCAACTTCCTTATCCTTGCTCCTCTTGGGGCCTCCACCGAAGAGAAAACGAGAGTTCTTGGAAGATTTAGTAGGGGAAGCCATAATAATAAGGAGATGATAGAGCTTTTTGAAGAAGATCAAAGAGAGATGAAAGCAGAATCGTGGTCATGATTACCTCGAGAACCGGCGAAAATATTGCTAAATCATGGGGTAACACATGTTCAGAGTATTAAATGCGAGGAGATGTGCGTCTTATCAAGCGTCATAAACTGTTCAGAAGGGTTCAAAAAAAAATTCGCCAAGAAAGAATCTTCACCAACTTTTCGATGACACAAAGATGTTCCACTGGGAAGCATGGGGGACTATCTGTATAGGATAAAATTGGTTTATATTAAATGCTCGAATGATGGCGTGACACGTGAAATCGGAGGCAGACGAAAGATAAATCAAGTGGAAACCAAGACCGAGGACAACAGCTTCTGTTGGTACCGGGTAGATCCCGAAGGGAATGCGGTCAACGGAAGCAAACGAATATTTGTCACCACATAGCATTTAATGAAGAATATTCTTCAGTATTAAATATGCAACAATTGCAGAGAATTTTGGCATGCATGGCTTGCCGTTACATATTCATCAATGACCCCTTTTGTTGTCATTTAAGTGGGAGTTGATCCTAGGATCTTGCTCCCTAGGTATAGTTATAAATAGTGGCTTCAACAACCATTGTGGGACAAGAAAATCTCTGGAAAAATTTATGCTACCTTTTATTCTCAAGTCAAATAATACAATTTTATTTTCTGTCTAGTTGTTCTTATCACTGTCTTCGGAAGCCTTGCTCCCGGAACCAAGCTTGCCATTTTCTTCGATTTCAACGATGAGCCTTGTTTTTCATTTAATTTATTTATCATTTTGGGATCAAATTAGTTCGATTGTCTATAAACCACGCAACAAATTCAACTGTACTAATTTACGGGTAAACAATCACCATAAGGGTAAAACCGTAAAATATAAGAAAATTAGGGCAACATATCCAATTAGGGGTCCTTTGGTAGGGAAACAAGTTATTTTAAGATAATTATCGTGGTATTAGTTATCCCGTGATTGTTATCTCACCCTCCCATAGGGATAAAAATAAAACTACAGTCCCACGATAACTAATCTCAGGATTAGTTATATTGCGATTTTATCCCAACGAAACGTTTGATAAAACCATCTCAAATTTAATTCCGAAATTAATTAATCTTTATCCCTCGTACCAAACGAGCCCTTAGGGTGAGAAATACCAAAACAATTTTCAAATTCATAACCAGGTATCACTGCATCATTATCACTTGCTGTAATTTCAGGTTGAGCTCATCAGATGATCAACCACAATCATCTCATCAAGCTAATGATATCATAAGCTTGTCAGCTCTTCTCTTAGTCTCTTACTAAGTACAAAAAGTATAGTTTTATGACCTCATTCAATATATGACAGTACTTTGCACTATTTCTAAGTAAATATGAGCATTAAAACCATTTTGCAACTCACTATAAGAATGGATTATTAATTACTTATGCTTTATAATATACAGCAAGATAGTTGTCTCATTACTTGTCCAATTTGGTCACAGAAAGTTCCAACCTTAGTAACTTAGGACAAAATTAAAAACAAAGAAATGAACCCCAAGGTCTTAAAAATCTCTCTATTAGTCAAGTTGAGCATACCAGATACCCTGGATTTTTACATCCTTAGGTACCTTTGCCCCCAAATCAGTATCAGATGGCTGAATGCTCTCAAACACTCCAATCACCTCACCAGTCTCTGGCTTGCTCTGTGTAACACTCAGTGTGATCTTTCCTGTTGAAGACGAAGTGTTCTTTACGTTCTCCTTCTGGAGCTCCTCCTCGTCTCCTCTCCCTCCAGCTGGCAATGCAACAGCATTATCGTAACCAGTAGATCCACCCCTTCCCTTTGGGTCAAGGAATGATGATCCTCTGTATGACGGCACAAGGAACTCTCCACTAAAGCTGTCGGGCTTTCCAGATGCCACGAGCTGTTTGATTGTGAAGAGGAAGGGAACGCGCTCACCACCAGGAAGCTGAACTGTAACAGCAGCATAATCAATTCCGTCTTTCTCCTCAAACTTAACGGTACCATCAGGAGATACTTCAAAGGGTCCTTCAATCTCATCAAGAGTGTAGGTTAAGCGCGTCATTAGCTTGGTTTTTTGGAATTCTGGGGGTGCATTCTTGCTTACGCTCTCTGCCTTGACGGTGAATGAAGTGGGCTCTAAGCAGAACTTCTTGGCATTGTATTTGCCTGGCTTGAAGGCAAAGCTCTCAACACCTCCATCTATTGTTGGGCATTGGTTGGCAGTTCCAGTTCCTTTTACTTCCATGTATGTCTTGCTCTGGATTTCGTCATAGGTTAGACGCTTAGGAACTCCTTCAGCATTTGCTCCCTATACGACCAAGTTGCACAATCTTTAAAAATCTTCTTTCCATAAACAAGAAATCAAAAGAAAAATAAGACGAAAAGCATGAAATAGTTAATCATTACAACAGCATCAGAAGCTCGTTGAGAAAATATTGAACTTCCTGAATAACATATTCTTATTAGTTATAGACTTCTGGTAGAGAGATCCTATGTAACTGACAAATTGTACTTACAAACCTTCCCCCATACAACACTGGAGTATAATTCACTAACATGTTTTAAATCAAGGGAATCTCAATCCTTGACATATACCTGAAATTGTCCTATCTAGGATTCACAACACTTAACTATACAGATTTGCAATAGATGGGAAATACGAATATGAAGCAA